TTTTTTTTTTTTTTTTTTTTTTTTTTTTTTTGTAGAGTCATATTTGTTTGTTCTCGGGTTGGTTGCGGGAGTTTCATGGACCAGGATTTTTGGAAGTACTGGCTCCTCAATTGGTCTCAAGGAGAGTGTATGTACTTTATTACCATAATTCTGAATTTAAGTTTCTTCTATTCGTAGTTCTATGTCAATCAAATACCGTGCAGTAAGTTGTGAAAGTAACATGACTTAACGACTTGGCGATTGACGATAACTTATATTTGTATTCGAACTCTGAGTATATTTGTCTTGTCAAATTATATGCTTGTGATTGATGTAATTCCAATTCCAGTTGGGCTGTTATTTTACCATGTGGAGCAAGAAATCTTGCAAGGCCTTTAAAGCTGGAGCTTGCTATATACCCAACTTTACAGGTACAGCACATGATATTGCTACTATTCTGCAGATCACGATGTTTAATATTACTTAAAAGGTTTTAATAACGAAAAATTTCCCCTTCACTCCATCCCAATCAAGAGTGTCTAAACATCTAACGATGATAGTGCTAGGGTCGAAAAAAATGTATTATCACGTCAGTCGTATATGTTATTTTTTGATGTTGCAGGCTATATTTTGTCCTGTCACTTCTCTGGCTTTCAAATTGCATCGAAACGTATTGTGCCCCTTGGAACCACCATAGCTTATCAATCATGCTAGTGTGCAACTTATTTCGAAAATCTTAGCTTTCCTTTGTTTCATCTGTAAGCAGCGGTACTTGTCCTATTTAAAGTCCCCAGTTCTTTATAGCATTTACTATGCAGTAGATTCTTACCAGGTGGAAGTGGATGTGATCCAATTAGTTTACTGACACATGTCTTTATATTTTCTGTTGGCTCTTGTTCTTGGCAACCTTTTGGTATTGTCCATTTCTTTCTAAAACTGCTGCAGGTATCTTATGTTATTATTTTGTTGTGTAATCCTTCTCTGTAACTGATAGGACGCTCAACCGCGTATTGTTGTTCCACTGTGGAGAGCCAGTTTGGAGGAGACGAAGTCACAGCATTCTGATCCATCAGTTATGATTGTGGATAACGCGGCGAGTAAGTCATGACTATCTCGACCACTTTGGCACTGAAAGATGCATTCCTTTCATAGTTCTATAATTTCCTTTGCTTAAATAGCCAAGCACAATTCTGACAAAGCGATCGCAGAAAAGGGGCATGTTCGATTTGTGAGCTACAGGGTCTAAACATTGTATTTGTATAATTCAAAGATCTCTTTATTGGTCTGATGACTCTGATCTTCTACCTTCTCTGTCTCTGCCTCCAATAATACTCGCCTACGCCCGAGAAAGGACTAATTTAATTTTCTTCTCAACCAAGGAACTCCGTTCTTGACTTAATGTTCGCTTCTTGTTTTGAACTCGTTATAATTATTATCATTATTTTTTTCAGAAACTCGCTTGAAACTCGCATCCGGGAATGAAAATGACAAAGAACAACTTCTGTGGTTTTGCAATGCATGCAAAGGAATTCCTACGGTAACACGTCCATCGACGTTTTCTTCGTCTCTTTTCTTTACTATGTCCATTCTCTTCTGGTCTTGGCACATGGTCAAGATAGCTAGAGATTAATTTAGGGTCAATTTGTTGTTCTCCTTCTTCACTTTGTAGTAGATAGGCGAGTACAATTGCAATAATCTGGAAATTTCTGGAATCGTTCAGGTGATGCACCCTGCATTTATGAATGGTAACCAGGGCTCGGGTGCATCCGCAACTGCACCGCCAGACACAGAAGATGTGGAGCTAGACATGGCCATTAACGCTTCCATACAATCATCTACCCAGGGGAGACCACCCTTTCCAGATCCCAGTCCAAGTTCTAAAGCAAGTGCCTCTAGCAGCCATACAGGTCCAGTTGCACCAACAACACATTCGACGAAATTAGGCACGAATGATTCCGAAGTGCATGAAGCTGGCCAGAGCAGCAACTCAAACGAACATCCCGAAATCCAGACTAGCACCATCCCGTCAGATTCAGTACCTTCAGCTCCACCGGTGGCAAATGATATTCTGGATGATGGTGCAATTCACTATCCATCGATCGACTCAAGTCCGATTGACTTAAGACCGGGCGAAGGGAAAGAGGAAGCGAGTTCTTCATCATGTGTTATATGTTTGGATGCTCCCATTGAAGGAGCCTGCATTCCCTGTGGACATATGGCTGGGTGCATGAATTGTTTGACTGAAATCAAATCCAAGAAATGGGGCTGCCCAGTTTGTCGCGCCAAAATCGACCAGGTCGTCCGATTGTATGCTGTATGAATAATCCAGAACGTCTAATTATACTGTGATTAAACTATTTAATGTACAGTTCCTGTTTATTATATATTCTTGCTACATATATACTCATTGTGTTCTATCTGATTGTGTGGACACAATATTGGTAATGTAAATGCATTTTGAATATAACTTATCATTATCAATACCCCCGACTTGAGCATACGCTCTTGAACATATGCTTTGTCATCTTAGTGTGAGAACCTTAAAGGAACCCACGATGATTTTTTTTTTTTTTTACTCAACTCGTAAAGGTCAAGAAAAAAGGGACCCGCTTCGAATCTAAACTCTTTCTTCTTAGCACAAACATTAAGTAAGTAAACTACCACTCTCGAACAATCACTTTAATATAATCCAACAATAATAACAATTATTAAAAAAAGAAAACAAGATTTTAATACGATAATTAACTTGATAAACAATATCCCAACACTCAAACTTAATGAAGAGACGAAGATAAATTAGAATCTAAAAGTCCTAATTTAAGAAAGAAATTTGAAATAATTGGAGGAAATTGGAGAGAATTTAGAATTTTAGAAAATGAGATGGGTATTTATAGGGCGTAAAAAATAATATAAAAAAAAGGTAAATAAATAAATAAATATATTTTTTGTGATTTAGAAGGAAAAAAAACAATATATTTTTAGGGGAAAGAAGAAATCGTTCATTTGGACCGCGCCAGGGCCAGATCTTTAACTCGCGCCTTTTCTCTGCTTCGTCGTTTCTGTCGAATCTCCCCCGAATCGAACATGCAGGTGAGCACTGCTAATATAGTCCTCTTATTCTTCTGTGTTCTTCGCTCATGTATTCTCGAATTTGGTTTGTTTGTTTGTTTGTTTTTTTTTTCATTCATTACAGCAGTAATTCCAAAACCCTAGAACTGTTTAGTTGATCGGAGGTTTTTTTTTTGTGATATTTCTGATATCGTGGGAGATAAGGAATTTGATACCGTTGCTTCGCGGAATTACTACCTCCATTTAGCTTTATTTTTCAATTCATTTAGCGTTTATGTTTATTTACTTCTAGTTGTCGTATGAATCTGGGTTATTTTACTCTGATGCATTTGTGAAAATTAGCTCTGCTTAAAATGAACTATCAAGAACGGGAAATATCCTATGTATATATTTCTAGGAAACAATTTCATTGATGTATGAAATTTACCAAAAGGAAGCAGCCCACATCCGAGTTAGTGTCAAGAAACCTTTCTAATTGGATAAAAGGGTAGAATAATTATAGAATTGAAATAGTGAAGATAATTTACATCAAGATATATAGCTCGATAGACTACGGAGAAGCATGCTCTTTTCCACTAAAATGCCTTTGATTCCTTTCATTCCAAGGAAAGGATGCCGTATTGGGGCCATTTATTTATTTATTTTCCCATTTTATTCGGATGTTATAAGTGTCATGAGTGGAAATCAAACCTCTGAATCAGTTGTCCGTATTTGAAATCTAAGGTCTGATTGTGGCTTACTGTCTTTGCTTGAGGTTTCCTCAGATGGAGCTAATGTTGGTTTCTGATCTTCAATGCAGGCCAGTGATAGATTCAACATCAATTCCCAGCTTGAGCACCTTCAGGCTAAATATGTGGGAACTGGGCATGCTGACTTAAACAGATTGTTAGTTTTCCTATTCCTTTGGAGCTTTGATCTTATATTACTTCGCATAGTAGTTTGTAATCCTCATTTCATATCGCTTTGCGTACAGTGAATGGGCTGTAAACATTCAGCGTGATAGCTATGCATCATATGTTGGACACTATCCCATTCTAGCTTACTTCGCTATAGCAGAAAATGAATCCATTGGAAGGGAACGCTACAACTTTATGCAGGTTGGTACATTGCCTTTACTTGTGTTTATTTATCTTTTCCCTGTCACGCCTTCTCTTCATAACATTAACCCCCCACCCAAAAGAAAAAAGTGAGAATTGGAAAAGAACTAAGAGAAAAAAAGAGAGAAAAAGATGGGCTCCAATCCATTTTGTTAAACCTTTCCTAAAATGTTCACTCCTTCCCCAAGCCCTCCAATAAATTTTATCATCAGTAGGCAGTTTTGATTTTCTTTTCTTTTTTAGTGCCAACCATTTCTGAGGTTTTCTGATACATTCATTATACTTGTTCTATATTACCTTCATTTGTGCACCACCCTTATAATGTGCTTTCTGAGTTTCAAGTCATTGTAATATGATTACTGGGTCACTTAAACAATAGTGCAAGTTTTTCATTCTGCATGCTTTTAGTTATCATTAATAAATTGAACATACCAAATTTGATATGCGGGGTTGTGCCAACCATGTAACTAACTTTCTTTCTTAATGAGGAATGGAAAATTTGATTTTACACGCTATGAGTTGCCAATAACGAATTTTTCATACCAACTTTGAAGTGTAGGGTTGTGCCAATCATGTTACTGACTTTCTTTCTAAACGAGGGATGGAAAATTTCATCATAGCTGCCCCTTCATTTCATTTACAACTTAATTAGATACAGAATGGTAACTATTAACCTTACTTTTTTGTTTGTTGTTTTTTGTTTTCGTTTCTTTGCAGAAAATGCTATTACCTTGCGGCCTTCCTCCAGAAAGAGAAGATGATTGAAATCGTATTAGGTTGTGACAAGAGATTTTAGTACTCTGGATCTTCATGGGGTTAACGAACTTATCCTTTCGCGAGCTGACTCTGTGTCTGTTCAGAAGCAATGAATGGGAAATGTGAACTATTTTCTCTTGTAATGCTCTTGTCTGATTAAGAATCAGTTTCCAACTAATCTACAAGACTGCACTGTACCTTGTTATTCTCCCTTTTATTTCAAGAAAAAGTTCTATCTCAATCATAGTGTGTGGAACGTTCCCATCTTTAGATGTATAATTTGGCTTAATCAATGAATTGATTGTTTCCTTGACAAGACCACGAATTTAATTTGACAGCTATTGATGCTGGATTTGGTCCATTCAGTTTGTAACTATTATCAGTCAGTTACTCAGTTTCTGGAGTTATTGTGTACCTACTGAGACTACTTGTTACCGGACCGCATCAAAACTATGTGATGCGTCGCATGCTAATTAATACAGGTGGATGTTTATTAGGTGCTTGACTTGATAATGTTTCTTGTTCAGCATGGTGTAGAATGAAAGGAGGACCTTCATGGAACTGCCTCCAACTTAACTTTGGGGAAGATTTTGGGTTGGCTGGAGGGTGCCTCTCCTAATTCCAGACTCTTGCCAATCAGTTCTCTGGTGTGATTATACAAAGTGGAAAGCAGGTCCAACTGAAGGAAGAGTCAATAAGGGGACATGTGGGTCCAGTATTGGTCCTTGCCATTTCGATACATCATTAAATGTCCTATGGGTTTCAACGTTTTATTTGTCTCTTCACTAACTAAAGCTTCGGTTCATGTTGTGGAAAATGCAAGCACACATGCTTTCAGTCTGACAAAGGTACGCTGTTCGATTTCTTTTGAGACTCTTCATATTTATCATGTCAGGAATTTGCAATAACTCCATGTTAATGGTTAATAGAACCTTGTAGGCTCCCAATAGTTGACTTGTTTTCGATTCATTTAATGTGGGAGCGCATCTAGTTCATCCTAATTTTGACACTTTACATAAGTATTTGATCATTGACCTATAAAATTGAGCTAAATCAGGTTTTTACAACCTTATTTTCGATAATGACATTAAAAAGAGGGGGAGTTCTGCTTTCTGCACTGACTATGCAAGTTGCTAGAATGTTTTGGACTGTTAATCCACTAGTAAACTTAAAAGAGTGTGAACCACAAATTTGAGCAGATTTTGTCGGCATGGCTACGTGGGGCGTTTTCACATGCTGTCATGTTAACATAGAACTGCATCAACTCAACTCTGACAGGGCATGTTCCTTCCAAGTCGAACATAGTAGTACGTACCTTACTTTTGCTTAGTTTACACTTGCTATTTATTCTAGACAACCTTTTAGCCTCCAGCTATAAATCTATACTCGATGATGTATGCCACTCAGACTCACAACTCATAATTTTATCTTTGTGAATCAGCATGTATATCACTCTTCTTATTCGAATTTCATGTCTATCATGATTCTTATACAAAATACACTCTTAAACTCGATAAAAAATCTTATATGACCGGGTGGTTAGTAGTAACAGTTAAGCATTTCCTTGTGAATGGAATCTTTCGTAATCTTTTAAGATACACATAGTTTAACTTTTGGATGCTGTTTTTCTACCTTGTAGGTTGTTAGATGTGTAACTGTCCAAGCTCACCACTAGTAGATATTGTCTGCTTTAACTTCTTATGTATCGTCGTCAGCATCACGATTTTAAAATGCATTTATTGAGGTGAGATTTCCACCCCCTTATAAAGAATGCTTCGTTTTCATTTTCAACTGATGTGGAATACTTTTTTTCATAGTCGACTAATAAGATATTAATGTGATTTTAAAGATTCTAACATATAATTAAACTGTTAATGAGATAATTGCTCGATTTTAAGTTAAGAAGTTGCTAAGTGTGTGGTTAAAGCAAGCTCTACCGTCATCTTCCTCCATGATTGGTACCAAACTTTCCATTTTGTTTTTTCTGTTCTCGCATTTATTCTCTGTAGTGAAAAATGAGAATGCTTTTTCTGTTTTTGTCGAAATGTTTATGATAGGTGTGTGACATCTCTTTGGATTCTGCTGCGAGGGAGGGACCAACCCTCGCCGGGCCCTTACCTTTCACATGCTGTCTTTGACTCCATCGTCATCTCCTCATATGCTACTTTTTTGTTTTTTTTAGCTTCAAACCTTTCATAATATTTGGTGTTTGGCTTATAGAGTAAATTTTTGTACTTTCAACTTTAGAGATGAAATTTATATTTAGTGTCCAAATTTGTTTCTCCTAAATTATAGAAAGCAATCTCACATGTCACATAGATTTTGACTTGTATTTAAATCTAATCATTTGCCTCTCGATTTTACAAATTATAGATTTAGCAGTTTGGTTAGTTACTCAAATTTTCGATAATTTCATTTCCTAATAGAATCATTGTTTCGAGACTTTTTACTTTCTTTTTTTAATCATCCGGGAGTTAGAATTAATTTTTGTTTATTCCTTTTTCTACTTCTTCCAAGTGCAGGATAACTCCAAGGTGTTGCAGGTTTTTTTTTCCTACCAATTGGGGCCTTCCCTTCACCACTCCCATGGGATGGTCTATAGGGTTCATAACTACTCTTCTTACTACAGGACGCTTACCTAGCCAACATGTAGATCCGGGTCTACCCAAACTTTTTTGGTTTACTCCAATTTTTGGATATCAAACGGACCTCCCCAGATGGTAATTTTAATGTGGCCGATTTCTCCTCTTTTGCAATCAGTTTCACTACAGCACCGATAGGAGTTTTGGGCCATTAATAAACAAACTTTAAATATTGATTAGCTACTTAATTATATCCTATAGCAGGTTTAAAAAATGTATTATATTTTCAATATATATATATATTTTTTTATCAGAATAAAAGTATATGCGGGATGACTTAGAATAAAAATTTGGATTCCGGAGAGATTGATCTAAATTTTAATTTTTCAATAGTAATTTTAAAACGTTAGTAAAAGTCAAAGTCAAAAGGTAAAATAAAATTGAATGTTTTGGGAAGTTTCTTATTTTTTTCAATATCAATTCATATTATGTCACGACATGTTTTTAATTAATCTTTTTTTAAAAGGACAAAAAAATAAAGATGAAGTCAAAGACTTAATTTTATTTAAAACAAATAGTGTGATGATCCGGTAATTATTTAAATTGAATTACCCCACCACCTAATAATTATATTTAAGTCCAACTGTATTTGTTAATATGCTGAATTGACTCTTTCTTATTTTTCTTTCAAATATTAAAACCATATACTTTTTCTATCCAATATTAATTAATTCATTCTCGACGTATATATGCATTTTAAAAAATACGATAAAAATGTAATCTTTTAAAATTAGCGCTAAATAAAAATTAAATATAAAATTTAGAGATGAAAAATATATTTTTATATTATTATTATTATTTTATAAATACATTTAAAAATAAAATAAAATAAAAAATTTTGATCCCTTCTTCTATCAATCAAGAAGGCTAACGTTGAATATATATAATAAAAAAAAGTATTACAGGCATATAAATCTATCTTACAAATTTTTTTCTAACGTTGAATATATATAATAAAAAAAAGTATTACAGGCATATAAATCTATCTTACAAATTTTTTTTAAAAAAAAGGGAAAATCATAATTTACACGCGTCAAATTATAATTCGATAAAGCTAGGGGAGTGTAGCGGAGAAAAATAGGCTCAAGGACAGCAGATTGGCAGTTAGATTAAAATAATAAATAAAAACATAAACAGTGCTTTTAAGAAGAAGAATGAATCATCCGAAGCTTTTTTGTCATCCATTTTCCTTCATTTTCTCGCTTCCTTTTCTTCACTCCGTCAAATTCCACCAAATAATCTCCTCTTCCTCCTCTCTAATCCCCGAAGAAACTTGATCCTTGTCCGAAACTCAGATCCGAAAATCCCTTCCCGGTATATATTCCGACGTTAAAATCTTTACCATTCTTGTTATTATCAATTTATTCATGTCCTCTCCGCCAAATTATCTACCACCATCTCCTTTTCATCTCCAATTCCCTTTTTCCAGATGTAATTGCATTTCTCTTACATGCGTTTTCATTCCGTTTTTGATGTTTCCCCATTTTTGTTCTTCAATTTCTATGTGTAGGGAAGGAATGTATTTTGTGAGCTTTTGTGCCTGATTTGTGGATTTAATGGAATTTTCGATCATTTCCATTGGATTCCAAGGTGTGGATCAGAGGTTGTATTTGATGATTTGAATCCCGAGATTAATCGAGGCGGTACCTGGATTGGGAACGGGATTGTCCGGCGGGGAAGCATTTTTGTGCCATTTTTCCTTATGATGGGCTAAGTTCTGAGCTGATTCGTATATAAAGGCGAGTTTGGTGGATTAGTAAATTAGGTGATGGAGCATATTGTAGGTGGGAAGTTTAAGCTTGGGAGGAAGATCGGAAGCGGATCATTTGGCGAGCTTTATTTGGGTATGCAACTCATGTGCTTTGTTATTCGATTGGTCCTGTAATTCACGTGCTTGTGTATGAAAAACATGGCCGACATTGATGGTGTTTCGTTTGGTTTATTCAGGTACCAATGTGCAAACGGGAGAGGAAGTGGCTGTCAAGCTGGTAAGTGGGTAATTCGATTGTGTTTCCATTTCTCCTTTGTGCTGATATCGCGATCTAACCAATTGTGAAATATTTCCATCAAGATTAGAAATGAACTTTTTCCTTTAACAAAGATCGTCCTCTGATGTCTGAGTTTTGATTTTTGTCTTTTTAGAACTTTTGTTGTGATCACCAAGTTGGGCAGTATCGCTGGAAACTTTAATAACCACATTGGCATTTTGGGTGTTGTTGTCTCCAATAGTTAAGAATTGGATGAAAGCCATTAGTTTTGGTTGCTTATCGAATTTCTTCTCTATTAGACATTTCTATCAAGACTTATTAGATATATATTTCTTTTCTCTTACCGTTTAAGCCAAGAGTGGGGAAGAGGGAAGAAAAGACAGTAAAATCTTGCTGTCTTTCTGAATTCTGATGCTTTAATTTACTCTGCTCCGTTACTTGAGTCGTTTATGGCGTTTAATGATAACCGTATCCACCATTTGATTTATATTGTACATTGATAAAATTCTAGATTTTGGTGATTCATTCATGATATTCTTGTTTCCTCAGGAATCTTCAAAAACCAAGCACCCTCAGCTTCACTATGAGTCAAAATTATACATGCTTCTTCAAGGAGGAAGTAGGTTTTATTTATAGTTCATTTACTCCGAGTGATGTTAATTATACTCTCTTAGAACTTATGTCCAATAGATGTAGGTTTTTTCTCTTAATATTCTTTGTTTATGTATGTAGCTGGTGTCCCCCATCTCAAATGGTTTGGAGTTGAGGGTGATTACAATGTCATGGTTATCGATCTTCTTGGGCCAAGCCTAGAAGACTTGTTCAACTACTGTAATCGGAAACTGTCCTTGAAGTCGGTTTTGATGCTTGCAGATCAGTTGGTTAGTTTGCCGATACTTTTAAGTAGTATCTTACTGATTATTTTTGCAGTGCTCATTCTTTTATCTCTCCCCTGTAGTTAAATAGAGTTGAATATATGCATTCACGTGGTTTCCTTCATCGTGACATAAAGCCAGACAATTTTCTAATGGGCTTGGGGCGAAAGGCTAACCAGGTATTATGTGTTGAACATTTTGTATTTTATCATACATCTCTGGAGTTATTCTTTTTTTTGTTACCATAACATTGAAGCCGCTCAACTGTGGGAGTTGGTGGGAATTTTAATATTTGAGAATGTTAATGATACCATTTAGAATCTCATTTCTTATTTGTACTTTACGCGTTTGTTGGTACTTAAGTTTATTCCATGTCGGTGACCGAGCTAGGTCTGGATCCCACATGAAGTTAGTAGTTTCTGCTGTCTCAAGGTCATAATGAAGAGACAAGAAAGAAAATGACTTCAATTTAAGTTCTTGCGTGTTAGAATGTTTTTCTAGTTGTCATGAAAAACTTCATATGTTTCTGAACTTACTTTTATAATAATGTGCCATATCAGTTTTATAGGGGAATGGGGTAGCTGATTGGAAAGTTAGTATCTTTGGCTTATACCTTATCAAATCACCATGCTTTTGTGAACAGGTATACATCATTGACTATGGTCTTGCAAAAAAGTACAGAGATCTTCAGACACACAAGCATATACCATACAGGTAACTTATCATCTATTACCTTTTTGTGACTCTGGCATGTCTTTTATCTGCATTTCCCTTGACTAATCGTGACACTCCTAACTACTTATTGAGTCATGAAACTTCAGTTTTCAGTTCACTGAATGTGCCTAGCTATGAACAACCATGGTAGAGTAGGTAGCCATATGTCAGCAAATAGTTTATCAGTTCAAATGCCTTATAAACCTTATTCTATCCTTCAACTCCATGGTAACATCTCATTGTCATAAAATTCAATGATGAATATAGTGATAAAGTGACTTGATCGTTCAAACAAGTCTTTCATGAGCTGGGAATCCTTGTTCTTTTGGGTATTTCTTAGCACTTGAGTAGGATCTGAATGCTCCTCTTTTGATCTAATTTTGCATCTATGAGATAATCTTTTCCTCTTATTTTGTGGTGAAGTTTTTAGCTGATCTTCATTCTTATTTTTCTAAATTAACCTTGGTGGGTTCTCTTGCTTCTGTGACAGAGAAAATAAGAATCTCACCGGAACAGCTCGCTATGCAAGTGTCAATACTCATCTTGGAGTTGGTGAGGCAATCTTCTTCTTCGTTGTCTTTTTTATACTTCTTTTTTCTGTCAGCCAGATTCTTTATAGAAAACTACTTGATTTGATTGCAGAACAAAGCAGGAGGGATGATTTAGAATCACTGGGCTATGTGCTCATGTATTTTCTAAGGGGAAGGTTCCACACATTACTTGATGCTTGCTTTTCCTACTCATATCTGTTTGACATCAGATTTTGACCAAGTTCATGAATCTTTATCTCAGCCTTCCTTGGCAAGGGCTGAAGGCAGGGACTAAAAAGCAAAAATATGACAAGATCAGTGAAAAGAAGATGCTTACTCCAGTAGAGGTATTATTACTCGCTCGCACATTAACGTTTACAAAAATATAAATGTGACAAAGTGACATACGGTGAGGACAGGTGATTGTATGGACCAGTGTGCTTGCCATATGCCAGTTTCTCTTATAAATTATAATTGAATTTGCTTGAAGTGTTTTCATGGACGTACTTGACATAGTAACATGTTTCTAGGTTCTCTGCAAGTCATTTCCCTCAGAATTTACATCCTACTTCCACTATTGTCGATCACTGAGGTTTGAAGACAAACCTGACTATTCGTATCTGAAGAGATTATTCCGAGACCTTTTCATCCGCGAAGGTTTGATTGAATTGTTGATTTCTCTTGTCCTTGTACTATTGATACACACAGGTTACATGTTGAAATCCTCTTACTACATCTAGGGTCTAATTAACGGCATCACACTGGTCATTGTTTGCAGGATATCAATTTGACTATGTATTTGACTGGACTATATTGAAATATCCGCAGATTGGCTCCAATTCAAAATCACGAGTCTGTATTTAAATTGCATGGATGCTTATCGTTGCCCAATGATGGAAAATAAAGTTGTTTTGCTTCTAATATAATTTTTCATTGTTGCTTCCCTACAGCCTAGTGGAAAACCAGGTCTCAGCCCCGGACCATCTGCTGAAAGAGTGGAAAAGCATCCAGGTCGGTTCCCTTTCTCAAGAAGAATAGGGTAAACTATAAACTGCTGAAATTGGCTGAATATTGCCTCCTTGGCTAATCTATGCCTTGGAGAGATGGTTTCTTACGTCACACTTCATTTTCACTTGGCTTGGTTGTATCATGTTTTCGATTAATGATCTGCATGCATACAAGGGATATGATTTTGGTTGTGTAAGATCCCACATCGGTTGGAAAGGGGAACGAAACATTCTTTATAAGAGTGTGGAAACCTCTCCCTAGTAGACACGTTTTAAAGCCTTGAGAAAGCCCAAAAAAGATAATATCTGCTCGCGATTTGAACTGTTACAAATGGTATCATAGTTAGACACCGGGCCGTGTGCTAGCGAGCACGCTGGGCCCCCAAGGGGGTGGGGATTGTGAGATCCCAGATCGGTTGGAGAGAGGAACAAAACATTCCTTATAAGAGTGTGAAAACCTCTCTAAGACTAGGGAAAGCCCAAAGAGGACAAGTTTGTGTACAATAGGATAAGGTGAGAGAGAGAGAGAGAATTCAGCATTATTTCGGTTATCCTTGATTTCCGATCGTTTTGTATTAGTCCATTGCTGCTAGTTGCTGCAAGCATCAGTTTGAGAACTATTCTTCTCTTTCAACTGCTATGATATATACTTGGTTTTGTTGTAAAAAAAATTTGGGAGCATTGGGGTTTGAGAGCTCTCTTTTCATGTTAGACATTCCTAGCCAATTTATGCTACAAAGTTGATATATTGTTTACTATGTGATTTAGTGGGCCAAGATATTCGAGACAATAGATTCTCTGGTGGAGCTGAGGCATTCGCAAGAAGGAACGCCAGTGGGCATGGTTTGCACGGTGATCATTCCAAACACAGATCATCTGATGATGTACCATCTTCCAAGGACGTGGTACTGCTCCAACTTGAGTTTTGCTCACTCTTTCTGAGCGTATACTATGCTGTTTTCTCTACTTTAACCAAGTTGAAACGTTTTCTTTCATTACAGCAAGTTGATTCAGAAAGGGTCCGCAGTAGTTATAGGAATGGAAGCATCTCGAAGAGGCCTGTTTTATCGAGCAGTCGACCAAGCTCCTCTGGGGAGCCTAGTGAAATCCGATCAAGTCGGCTGGTGTCAACAAGTAGTCGCCTATCAGGCCAAAGAGTTCAACCTGGTTTCGAGTCCAAAACAACAAACTTTACCCGTTCGTCAACTACAAAAGGTGGTCGTGATGATACACTCCGGAGCTTCGAGATGTTGTCTATTGGAACTGGGAAGAGGAAATGAAAGAAAACAGATCAATCTGGGTATAACTAGTGACGGTGTAAATGGTCAAAACATAACAACACCCTATGTATCTTCTTCTGTAAAATGCTCCCAGCTCCTACGGTATGTATGTTATATCATTTGAACCTTGTATATGTGTATCGATCAACGGTTGGCTCGGTTCATCCACACGTTACAAAATCTAATGAAATTTGCTCCGAAGAAAACACTGTTGGAAGCAAAACCTCCATGGATTTTCTTGATTACAATGGTGCTTGTTCTTGTTTCGTTCTAGGAAGCTGTTAATAATACATTTGAGACAGTTACTCCAACATCCTTTTTGCTTTCCTCTATTCATTTATTTTTACAGTAAGTATGCAAATCTAATGCTAAGATTAAGCATTATGGTTGCTTGTTGGGAAGAGAATTATATATATATAGATTTTTATGGATCCTTTTATGATTCTTCTTTTCATATTTTATTCTATGAATTTATTTCGATGAATTGAGTACTCTTGTTTAAAGATGTTTATGAGGCGGGTTGACCTTTTCATTCACGTCGATTTTCTATTTCATTCTCCATTTCTGGGATATTTTTTATTTACTTTGTCGAGAATTGGAGTGGAGATTCCTTATAGAGAATTTTTCTTCATTTTTTTTATGACACTCTTTATTTTCTAATATAATTTCTATTAGAATAATGTATAATATTGTAATAAATTCGATTATATTTCATAAGGAAAATGTAATATAATGTTTAATATAGTTTCTGCTTAAAAAAAAAAAAAAAAGTTTAAATTTGAATTTTGACCCTTGTATTGTGAATTTTTACTTTGAATTCTTAGTTTTCGTAAAATTTTCCAGGTGAAGATTCTTCATGAAAAATATGCAAAAATTGAGTTCTCCACTAGATATTATTCGAGTCCCTAATTGAAGTTAATTTTTAATAAAATGGGTTAAATAATAATAATTTTTATGTAACAAGACACGGGATTATATTTCCAAATCGTATAGAAGGAATGCTAAAAAGACTATTTTTCAAAACAAAAATTAACTATAAACTAATGGTAGGGTCAACTTTAGACTTTATTGAAAGTAAAGGAACTAAAAAAAACATTTAATGAGTTGCTTTTATAGAATTTCCCTCCAGTTTCACCAAATCTGTCTGCTCAAAAGTTTAAAGCATCAAACTCTTGTCTTAGAGGTTCAAATTGACGGATGAAGAATCAGCGAATGAGTTTTGGTTAGGAATGAATTGCCACTCTAACCCAGAGCTAGATGGTTCTCCTCTAAATGCGTTGAAGCGCAACAGTTGACTAGACATCTAGGGATAAAGCATTGTTTCAGTGCGGGCGGTTAGAGGGGTACCAAATCAAGTCAAACTCTAAAGACTAGATATGATCTCAAAATAATAGGGGGCAAGGTCGGCTAGTGAGATGATGGGGGATAAGTTTCATCGTCGAGAGGGAAACAACCCGAATCATTAGCTAAGGCTCCTAAATAACCACTAAATGATAAAGGAGATAGGGGTGCAGAGACAACCATAAGATAAACCCTAAAATAGATAATCTCCATCTACCTCGAGGGAAATAGACATCCGTCACGAACCTTACGGACTAACATTGAACTAATCACAAATAAACCCATTTTAAACTAACCAAACTCAATCAAAAGTGAAACAATAACAGAATATTTATGTAACGAAAACGGTTATTAATTTATAAAACAAGATTAAGCAACCCGAGCTTAATTTAGACTATAGATAAATTTGCTAATGTGGAGTGAATGGAACGCCTAACTTATCAGTCGAAGATAGATATTGTAACAAGTTAAACTCGATTCAAGTTGACTATATCACTCGAAGACAAAGACGGTTAAAGAGACGTATATTCAAATAAGGGTAATGGACTCAAAGCTAAAGCATAGATGAAACAAAAAGTGGCCATCTTTGGTAGGATGAGTGTGTCCTAAAGCGAAGCCATTTAGTAGGTTACCTCTCTTTCAAATGTGCATTAAATTTCACCTTTTTCACCTCTATAAATTGAACCTCTCAGCAACTCCAAATTCAATATCATCTCTGTTTTGCCCATTTCCGCCATGGCCGCCTTCTTCCTTCAAGCTCCTCTGTTTGCTCTGTTTGCTCTGTTTTTCCTCACAGCCTTCTCACCTTCTCTGGCTTTCCCATGGAGTTCTTCCCCCTATGAAAAATCTGGTTGGAATCCATCATTAGAAGAGATGTTATCGGCCTCCGGCGAGACTTCCGGCCGGCCGCCTCGCCGGAAAAGCACAATTTTTGGTGCCCCTTGTGGGCTCTGTGGTCAAGTGATTTTTGGCTCTGAAGCTCTAAATCACCATTACAATTACCATTTCTTGCAGAATGATCTCGCTTCTTATGGTAGCCGCTTGGTTCCTTCTTCGGCAAGCTCTCAGCGGCCGCCGGTATGGACCGATTATTTCCACGGACAAGCCTCTGCTTCTCGAGAACCCCAAATTACGCTTAACAATTGTTTGACGATGCCACCGCCGCGGCAGCCGTCGTCTCTTAGAAGCTACCCCAGCCCCACCATCGACATGGCTCACTTACTACCGCTTCATCCGTTGTTGGCCCAACCTCCGCCGTCTAGTCGGACTACAATCGCCAACGGTATTAACGAGGCTGCAGCGGGGCAGAGGTGGCAGGGGAACCAAAATCAATGGAATAATGGTGGTGCAAGGACGACCGGTGCCCGGTCGGCGGCGGAGCAGCGGCAGCCACGGCAAGAAGTGATTGATCTCAACCGTACTGAGGAGAATGATTGTAGCTCTGATGGTTCAGATGGCTTGGATTTGACATTAAGCCTTTGAAGAATATTATGTTTTTTTTTAAAAAAAAATTTTGGGTCTTTGATTTTTTCCATTAATAAAAGTTTTTCATTTTTAATTGAAATTTGTTTAAATTAAAAAAATATTAAAAAGATTGATTTATTTATTATCTACAATACAAACAAATTAATACAAGGCAACATCGTACAAAAGTAAGTAAAAGTTTATTATTATTAATGAATTCAGTTGTGTTTTTATTAACTTTAAATATTTTTATATATATAAAGTTTAAAATATTATGTTTTTTATTGTTTTCAACAATAAATGACGGTTAATTCTTTTGTCGTATGAGACAAGGACGAACAAAACGAGAAGAAAAAACTCTTACCATCTATTGGTCCTTTTTAAGATACTATTTTAGACTACTTTTATGAATAAATATTTTATCTATATTATCGATATGAATTTTACATGATGTTTTATTTTCATTCACGTGCTTCTTATTAAGACGTGCTTCTCATTAAGACAATCTCGAAAATGTTACTTAACGTGGGTTCTTTCTAAAATGTTTCTAAGAGTGGATATTATTTCCATAGACTAACATGGGTCGTTTTGGGATGTTTCTAAAGTTACTGTGATTGAGCTATCAAAAAATAAAATTCATTTGATCACTCTCATTCGGTCGTGAGCATAGGACAATATAGGTGTGACGTTTTTTTAAATAATTTTTAAATGTGATTGTGAGATTCTCACCGGTTGAAGAGGGAACGAAACAATTCTTATAAGGACATGACAACCTCTGTCTAGCATTTTAAAACCTTTCATAAAAGAAGAGAACGATATCTATTAACAATTAACTTTAACATTTTAAAACCTCCCATAAAAAAAAGCACATAAAGAACAATATATAATGGACTTGAGCTTTCGTACTTTAAAAAAAATATATTAATAAAAAATATTATCAATAAGAATGGAAATGGATTAAATGTATTACCAATACTCAGCAATTATTAATGTAATTAAGCTTCCATTAAATTTCTTTATTCAGTCTAGATATAATGAACTTTACATGTATAGAAATCACATCCTTGTCAATGTAGCCCTGCCCTGATATACGAAAAAAACAATGACAACAATAGCTGAGGCATCCTTTGATGTCGACCATTTTATTCGAGAATTTTCGACGTCCTTCACAATCGGCATGTAAATTTCATCATGTATTTGCATAGCATTGAGTGGAAGCAGTGGAAACAATTCTACAGAAAAGTTAGCTGCTGAATTCATGAGTGATTCATATATCATCTAAGAACTTGGAACCATTAAACATATAGATGAAAGGGGGTACAATTACTATATTCAAATCAGAGATGCACATATTATATAAGAGTTAAGGCTTTTCTAATGATATGATAGGTTCAACTAGGGTGAAATCATGCAGTAGAGGGCAGACTTTAAAAGAATCACGTCTGCAACCTCTGAAAATAACAAGAGAAATACAAGGACTTGGAAGAGTAGTTTATCACCTTCATTGTCGTCGTCATCGTCGACACTGTCGCCTGGCTTTTCGCCAAGCTTTTCACCCAACTTTTCATACTACCATGAGCCCCATATGGAGCGATTTGCACGAGGAAAGAATATCTGAAAAATCACCATTCCCAGAAGATACCCTTGAAAGCCATATTTGGGAAGCAACATTAACATCAGAGGTCAACACCTTTGGGACTACTTGATCCCAAGGTTGAGGAAGAAGAGAAACCCATCAAGTTTTTTAAGTGGAGTTTGCTCAAAGCTCGTGGCGTTTTGTCCTACCCGCCAAGAGCGATCAGGATATAGAAAAGCTTCTGATAAAGGTGAAGAATGAAGATAGAAGTGTTTAGGTACTGCACTACGAATTGGTTAGCAACGATATACTTGTAACACAGGGTATAAGTAAGAGTTAAAGCAAATGAAGCAGGCTTCGCCATGAAACCATGCTTGAAATCATCGTAATTTGCAGCACAACTGCAGTATCTAATATTTCATCAATGAATTGGGCACTCAAGGGAATCCAGACATAAAATTCAGATACATGCTTAATTGGAGTGATGTAGGCATCTTGTGAAGAAATCAAGTAAAAACTCACTACACTAGATCTCCAGAATTCCATAAACCTCAAAACAACCCCGAACAGCCCCGAACTCCTGAGGCTTGAGAAACAGAAGTGAAAAAAATCCAAAACTGATAACTTCAACTAGTAACAAAATTTGACGCTAGAGAAATACACTTCCTAAGATTCACTCTTTTTCAGCTTTGCAAGCTCTTGCCTCACCAATCCAGCTCTCTGCAAAAAGAAAATAAATAATAATGCTGATCCATAAGCATTGAGTTGACATCCAGACAGTACACAACAGAAACAATAGAACATTTCATGTGTCGATGATTAATAAAACAAAACTTCTTTCAAACTCTTTAATATATCAAATGCATAAAAAAGGTCAAAAACAAACAAGAGGAAGTACAAATTACAGATTGCATCACAACATCACTGACCTTTATCTTAGCCAGCATTAATTTGAACCTATCAAAATCAGTAAGTGATGCCCTTCTTTTCTTCACGAGTAGTTTTCTTCCCCAAGAGCTATCCTCCCACTTCTTCTGAACGTCTGACATGATCAAAACAACAGGTTAAAGAAAACAAAAAACATGAAAGGTGAGGTGCGGTGGAGAGGGTATCAGAAAGTGAAAATTAAGTTAAGAAGTATACCAGCAGCCTTCATAGCTTCAATGAGTTCCTTCTTTCTAGGAACTCTCTTAATGTCAATTTTAATGTCAGTAAGAGAAAGTCTCTTGAAGTTCATTTGAGATCTGACCATATCAGGAGCATCTACCAAAGCCTGGATGTGGTAGCATCAAAAAAAAAAAATTATAGAGTGAGAAACTAATCAAATCTAAAAGAAACTAAAACCGAGACACCAGGAAATGACAACAAAAGATACAAAGTTCAAAACAAAACTGTGGATACAGATGATAACTCCATCCAGATCCTCTTTTTCAACCAAAAAAAATTTGATATTTCCGATTAAAGGGAAGTACTAGAAAGAGAAAAAAATAATGTGAGCTCAGAACCATAAATTTGAATTATTCAAACATCCCTAACGATCAAGCTAACAGAAGAGCTAACCTATTAATAAACTAAAATTTGCATGTTCAACCACACTAACGATCAGTAACAGAAGAGCTAACCAATGACAATGAAACTCTATGAACCTGAAGTTAAATCAGAGATGCCATAAATTACTTCAACAATATCACTTCAAATAGAAGAGCTTGAAGAAGCTAAGAGGTGGTTATTTCATTAAATTCCAGAGAAATGAGCATCTATACTGATGAGGACACTTCCAAGACAAATAGTAGGGAAAAGAAAGCTTCAGTTATCAGTGGATTTCTAAAATCTAAGAGGATTGGTACAACTTCAAGCTGAAAACTACTAATCATCGACCAAATTCATAAGTAATAGCAAAAAGAACATACTCTATTTTGGTCAATAACATCGACAATGACGACAAGCTTTCCGTAGTCTTCGCCATAGTTGACGAGAGCGACTCTCCCGATCTCAACGTACCTCTTGAACGGCTAAAGAACCAATAAAAGAACACATCATTCAGAAACAACTCGTAGGACAAAAACTAGGGAAGAAAATTATACGATCATACTCCGTAGATTTTTAGTTCGACAGAAAGAAACTAAGGACGGGAATGCTTACCATCTTCGGACTGTTAGGGTTTCCACAGATGGGCAAGGCGATGAGAGAAGATTACACGATGTCGCAATTAGGGTTTTTTCTTCCCATGTAGATCCAAATAATCCTCTGGATGAGAAAACCCGACTGTTCTGTTCATAACTTTAAAATTACGATTCAGCCCCCCACGGTGCTTTATGAAATTGTTAGATCATCAAAAATATTTTGAAAAATAATTAGTGGATTATAATATATTTTAAATTATTTAAAACACTAAATTATTTTTACCTGACTTGTTTTAGTAGTGAACGTATAAAAATTTGGATAGTGAAACCGTATTTATATATCGTGTAAGATATTATGTTTTAGTAGTGAACGTATAAAAATTTGGATAGTGAAACCGTATTTATATATCGTGTAAGATATTAATTCTTTATCCACAAAATATTCAACTTTTTTTTCAGAACTTTCTCATTTTATTTAGAGATAGAAATAGAAAAAAAAAACTTTAAACTAAAATAAGCAATATACATAAAAACAAATCAGGACTAACAATAAAAACATATTTAGGGGATGTATTTCACCCATTCATCTCCCATTCATCTTAAGAAGAGAGAGTTTGATCTAGTGTCCTAGGGTGAGTCGAGCCAAAGCATCGACGGTGTCATTTTGGAGTACATATTTGCTTCACTTCCACAACTTGATAGCAACTAAGAAAGATCTTCACTTAGCATANTGTTTTAGTAGTGAACGTATAAAAATTTGGATAGTGAAACCGTATTTATATATCGTGTAAGATATTACTTCTTTATCCACAAAATATTCAACTTTTTTTTTCAGAACTTTCTCATTTTATTTAGAGATAGAAATAGAAAAAAAAAACTTTAAACTAAAATAAGCAATATACATAAAAACAAATCAGGACTAACGATAAAAACATATTTAGGGGATGCATTTCACCCATTCATCTTGAGAAGAGAGAGTTTGATCTAGTGTCCTAGGGTGAGTCGAGCCAAAGCATCGACGGTGTCATTTTGGAGTACATATTTGCTTCACTTCCACAACTTGATAGCAACTAAGAAAGATCTTCACTTAGCATTTTTGGAGTACATATTTGCTTCACTTCCACAACTTGATAGCAACTAAGAAAGATCTTCACTTAGCATATGTAGATTTCACAAATTTAATCATTCATCGATCGTTGTAGGTCTAAGATCTTACGTGTCTCTCACTTAAAATTTATGGAAATGATGCTCCCTACCCGATAGTTATATGCAATAAGTCATTGTTGTTGCCTTTTGCTTACATTCTCATATAACACCAATTTCAATTTCTCAAATTTTGCTTCTTTTGAAATCTCTTTGCACCTATTTTCTAACACTTTCTTCTTAAACTGGAGCTAAAGGCTGAAGCATACTACAAGAATGAATAGACTTAACTCACTTGTGGGTGGAAATAAGTGTCTCACAATCGCAAGTCCACTGCTATCAAAGTGCGATTGTAACCGAACTCATAGGCTAAGAGAGTATCATTTAGTCATTGCAAGTAAAATACCAGGTAGAAATCACATTGCATTAGCATTTGAAAGGGCATCACACCGCTTCGTTTTAATTAAAGGATCAAAACATCACAAAAACTTGTTTAAATTTTTTTCATTGCATCCATGGAGGGCACCATTCAATACAAATCTTCATTACATCAATTAGATATGCTTTTAAGTCCCATGATTTTTTCTTATGCATCCAATTCCAAGATTTGTGTTCAATATATCATAAAAAAAACTTAACTACAACAAACCATTATCCACAAACGACGCCATTGAAAGGCAGAACAGAGAAGGAATGGTAAACGAGAACATTGCTGTCAGCAATGTTTATGTCAAACGATTGCACCTTTGCTTCTTCGCACCATTGAAGAGGATGTAGATTCACTCATTACAGGGCATAACCAGAAAACAACTGAAGCTCGCAACTAGGGTTTTTCTCGATCACGGGCGTAATCAGCAAGTAGAGAAACCACCAAATTTTCTAACCTAAGTTCGCTCAAAGCAGATGGATCTGAGTTCTACACCAGTCCACAGAGGAAAGGATTTAAAATAGCTTTTGATAAAATGGTTTGATATTGCACTAAGATCTGGTACCAATCACATACTTTCTGAACTACTTACTAAATGAAAGTTCAAGCAAGTGAAGCAAACATTAAACAAACAAACAAACAAATAGAAAACAAAAGGCATATGCAGTTGTACTCACTACACACTTGGATGTCCAAAACTCCATGCACTTCAGAAGCAACCCAAATTCTCAAGTGCTTGAGAAGCAAAAGGGAGAACAATCCACAACATTTAAATTGATCTCTAACAAAATTTGAAGATAAAGAAATGTGCTTTCTAAGATTCACTCTTTTTCAGCTTTGCAAGCTCTTGCCTCACCAATCCAGCTCTCTGCAAAAAATTAAATAATATCCATTTGAGGAATAGGTTGCCATGAATTAAGAACACAAGAGAAACAGCGGGTTTAGAGCTCTTATACTTATCGATGATAAAGAAAGAGGGTGGGGGGAACAAGAGAAAGTACAGACGCATCACATATCATCACTGACCTTTATCTTGGCCAACATTAGCTTAAACCTATCAAAATCGTTAAGGGATGCCCTTCGTTTTTTAACGAGAAGTTTTCGCCCCCAAGAGCTATCCTCCCACTTTTTCTGAACATCTGACATGACCGAAACAACGGGTTAGACTTGAGGCAAATAAAAACAACACCCCAATTGAGGGTGGTAGTGGAAGAATTAGGTATTTGAAAGTGAAATCAGTTGAAAAGCATACCAGCAGCCTTCATGGCTTCGATGAGCTCCTTCTTCCTAGGGACCCTCTTAATGTCAATTTTAATGTCAGTAAGAGAAAGTCTCTTGAAGTTCATTTGAGACCTGACCATATCAGGAGCATCCACCAGAGCCTGTACACAGTAGCATTAAAAAAATATATAGAATGAGCAACTAATAAAAAAAAAAATTGAGTGTTATATCACATGGAGGGAGGGATTCGAACCTACAACCTCTCAGAGGAAGTAAAAACGACTTAATAGTTGAGCTATGCTCATGTTGTTAGCAACTAATCAAATATTGAAAAAACTAAACCCAAGTTCACCAGGAAATGTCAACATAAAATGCATGCATATGCCAATTCCATCCAAATCCTTTCTTTTCTACAAAAGACAATTGGATACTGTAGAATCAAATTCAGTAGGGAAAGAAAAAATGGAATATATCCATTGAAACAAGCATGAATGTTTACAAACATCCAGTGCGACATACATCTGTATTTGTAGACTCACGAGAAGTCCCAAAAACAATTAAAATCATCAGCGCATCAAACAACCATAAATTTGAACAACCAACGAAACACCCCTTTTGGTTTCTGGAGAATCAGCCAGAGAAAACAGTTCAAGCTAACCATCAATCAGTAGTAATTTGCATCATCCTCAACCCAACTACTGATTGAATGACCACTAATTAGCGACCTACTAAATGAACATAAAGTTAAATAAGGAATGCTGTATATTATTTCAACAATTATCACTTCAAACTTGAAAAAGCTATGAAATAATTTTCCTAGATAATAAATAGCAGAATTTTATGATATATATGTTTAGGTCATAACGCAAACATCAAATTCAGAAGAAACAAAGGAGTGGGGAAGCATAGAGCTTCCGTTTTCCGTGGCTTATGAATGTCAAGGGGATTGATACAAATTCAAACTAAAAAGTAATACTCATCGAAAAAGTATGTAATAGCAGAGAAAATTACTCTGTTCTGGTCAATGACATCGACAATCACAACAAGCTTTCCGTAGTCTTCGCCATAGTTGACGAGAGCGACCCTCCCGATCTCAACATACCTCTTGAACGGCTACAGAAACAATTCAGAAAACACGAAATTCATAAACAATTAGCAGAACATAAACTCAGGAAGAAAACAACACCACCATGCGCTGTCGATTCGTAGCTAGGAGAAGAAATACGAAGGAATAGAAGCCTCACCATCTTCAGGCTGTAGGGTTTTACAGAGACGGAAGACGAGCCTAGGGTTCTTTCCTCTATTCTGAGTCCAGATAATTGATTCCTTCTATATGTTATTACTTGTGAAATTACGATTTTAGGCCCCCGATTAATTTTTCTTTTCAAGTTTTATATCCCATTTAACTCTTAAAAGTTATTACGTCTATTTAATATCATGAAATTATTTTAAATCTGTAAATCTTCATTTTTATATCCAATATAAATAAACCTCAAAATATAAATTAGAAATTTTCCATTTTTATCCATTTAAATCACTATTTAATAAATCTTAAAATTATTAACTTTATATATAATAAATTAATAAATTTTAAATTTGGTGTCTTACCCGTTTATAATTTTTAAAATTTAATGATCTATATAAAACGAAAAATTAATAGCAAATCACGTAAAAATTAAAACAATGAAATTAACAATGCTACCATGGAAACATATTTGAACACAATTTTTAGTGCAACATTTTCGCTTTAAATCAGTCTCGCTCATTTGGTTTGCTCGATCAAATTAACTCTTCTACTTCTGTCTAATGTGAGAGTCACATACTCGGTGCCATTGAACTAGTTGGTGGGATAGTTTCTTACTGATACGTCAAATCGAACTTGACAAGGAGGCTCGAGAGCGGAATGATATGTTATTATTTTTGTAATAAAAAAAAATAAAAAAAAAAATTGGTGTCACATTATATGAAGTTTGATTAATTTTTACAAATATATAGTTTAAAAGATGATCGAACAACTCACGTGATAGTATTTTCTTTCTCGTCTGGCGACGTAAACAGCACCGCTAAAATTAGAAGAGAGATATTATCAGAACTTCTGTTACTACTCGAATCCCACACTTCCCGGTATCGTCTTCCTCTCTCCTGCCTGCCCTGATCTTTTCAATTTATCTCGCACTGCTTCGATCAGAGCTCTCAACGCCGCACCAATCACAACACAAAGGATTTCTTCTTACTGTAAGCATACATTTCTCTACTTCATTTGCCGGAGTTCTTCTTCGTTACAATTGATTGTTTTCGGCTGTACGCTGTGATCTGATTAAATTGTATATTGATCTCATCTACGTCTGTGTTCTTTTCGTTCATTTTTGTTCCGGATTAAAGGTAGATGAAATTGAATGAAGAAGTTTAATTCTAGTTGAATGCCTTGATGCTGATCAACTGCAGTTTGTATTCTAATCGATATTATTTTGCGACATTCTGTTATGTTGAATTCTGTATTGCTTTCTATCTCGAAGAGAAGCGACCTTTCTGTTCGACTAGTGATTGTGAAGGAATCTGACGGAAATTAATTATTTCTAAGTGTTCTCTGTGAGGAATTCATGTACTTGTTTGGATGCAGCAAGGCCTATAAATGGATGGAACTGTTTTTGCCCCTGCCTTGGAAGGGATTCAGCATGTCAAATCTGAAGCAGGGGAGATTTTGACCAAGCCTTTCTTGGAAGTGTGCAAACATATTTTGCCTGTTATAGGTGCAGTGCCTCTTGAATCCTTTTGCCTTTTAAATGATTCTCTAGTTTCCTGGCGTCTGACTGCATATGATTTCATTTTGACGAAAGAGAGTTATATCAAGAAGATAAACATGGGCTTTATCATTTGCCTGCATGAAGTTAGTAGACTGATATTTCTTTGTTGGTGGACTAGAGAACTAGATTTGTCATTTTAAGGTTTCTGCAGTCTCGAGTCATTTGTTTCCACATCAATATTGAATTCCTACTGCAACTAAGCATTATTGCAATCTCATACTTTGGTTACCACAAACTGATCAATTTTATGACTTGATATCTTAAAATTAACGTCTCAATTATTTCTAATGCAGATAAGTTTGGAGCTTCTATGGCACTTGTTAAAACTGACATTGGAGGCAACATCTCGGTAAGATGCGCACGTCATATTCTTTTCCCATTCGTTAAGTTTGTAGAATATCATTGTCTATGAGGCCCGTTTATGGCAGCCTGTTTTTTTACTTGAGGGAGAAACATCGAAGCTTGTATGCATCTGTTCACTTGATTTTATCTCTGTCATGTTTGAGTTTATAGGCTACTAATCACTGTCACTGGACTTAGGACTTGCTAATTTTCTTGTCTTCTTTTATTGGATTTTCCAAATACGATTGGATTAAATGAGAAACGTAGCTGGAAAAGTAGAAAAAATGTATGGTATCTGAAAAGATAAAACACACATCTAACTTGAGTACTCACGGGTGTTTATAAGCATTCGTGATATAAAACTGTAATTCTTAAAGGAAGACAAATGTATGCCTTCGCTGTTCTAGTGTTTTGGGAATTATATCGATGCTTGTGATTTTGTTATAGACCGCTAATTTCTGTAACGTTTATGTTTTCTTCACCTTAGTGTTTGTATCTGTAGAGATTGGACGCCAAGTATTGTTCCAACCCACCTGCATTCAAGTACTTGTATCACTTGGTGAAGCCTGAGATTGAAACTAATACTGCAAAAGGATCGTCCAGTTGCACAAATGGTCTTCTTTGGTTGACAAGGTTAGACAGTGTCTGTAATGAATCTGGTTATTTTTTCCTTGGAAAAAACACCACTGAAGAATTATATGTTGAATGTTATCAAGGAAGCTGTTGAACACGAATATGTATAACTTAACCATGTTTGTCATTACATGTTACAGTGCTAAAATCTAATTGGTGATGGTAGCCCCCCCCCCCCCCCCCCCCCCCCCCCCCCCCCCCCCCCNAATCTGCAGTTAACTGAAATAAGTAGATGAACTACAACTACTTCAGTTTTCCCTTGCCCCCTTTGGATGCGTATCCTTGCATTTTCTTGGTTATTGCGTTGCACACGACCTGCTATAGCATTTTGATAAAACTTCGATGCGACTCTTTGCACTTCTTAATACAAGGAATGAGTTTTTAGTTGCATCTGCAGTGTGAATGACTGAACCAAATTGCTGTTTTTCCCTTTTTTAGAAAATAATGAGTAAATCTTTGTTTTTAACTAAACCCAGAAATATAATCATCTAAATAACTCTGCAAATGATCTTGGATCAATTTGATTAACACACACTTTGATCCTACTTGCATATTTTGATCCTGTCAGAGCATTGGATTTCTTGGTACAACTGTTTCGCAACTTACTGGAGCATCAGGATTGGACAATGACCCGTGCTTGTACAGAAGCATATGGCAGAACCTTGAAAAAGTGGCATGGCTGGCTGGCCAGTTCAAGTTTCTCTGTAATCCTCTGATGCCTCTACTTAATTTAATTTTTAAATTCTTTGGTATAAGGGGTGATTTTTTATCCAATTTGTTAGTTGCAGCAGTTATTTTCCGCTTTTTATCTCGCCTTCTTTATTTTCCTTCAACTTGGGATTTTAGAGATCAATAGAAGCTTAAAAATGCACTGAAGTATCCGCTGAAGCCCATACGCATATTCCTAGAGTTCTATTTCTGGTATATGTCGTGTTACTAGCATCTTTTTTGGTCTATAACTCGATTATCTTTATCGAGAATGGTGTAACATATGAGTTCACATTTCAAGATTCGAAAGTTGACGTCACTTTCAGGATACAAAAACATGTAGCACATACAGAATCGTGGCAAATTTTGTTAAACCTTCTACTGCTTCAAATACATTTATAGTGTTTGAACTAACTGGAAGTTATTTCACATCGTTAAGCTCAATCCGTGAATTCAGCTTATGAAAAACTATATGTTGATTCTAATGGGATACTAAAATTGTAGGTCGCCATGAAGCTTGCTCCCGATCGTAAGAAGTTTATGGATGTTCTATCAGGCAATGGCAATGTTGAAGCTGACATTGAGAAATTTTGTACAAAATTTTCACCTCTCCTCGCAGAGAATCACAAATTTCTGGTAAGTTTCCCAAATTCCTGAAGAAATGTCAAACTTCCAAACTTGATAGAACTAGTTCAGTTTTGCAAGGTAGTTATGCTTTTTATTAACTGAAATTTCTGAGCCTTTAGGGCGACATTAAATTTAGTTTGGGATTGAATTTCCAAGTCCATTCAATCTATTACTTTTTCTTATTCAATTTTGTATGTCATTAGTCATGAATCAATAGATTAGTATCTCCTAAATGTCTTAATTTGGTTAGGAAAATGTTTTAGAGGACTGATGAAATAAATACTCTCTTTCACAGGCTAGCTTTGGCTTGGACGATCTTAAGGCGTCGTGAGAGGCTGGTCGTCCCTGAAAATCGGAGTTGTGTCTCCTTTATATTGTTACTTCCTCTATGCACTTATATTATAGCTTATTTAAAATCCTTTTAACATCCTTAAAACTCAGACATAATCGTTAGACTTCAATTGTCTTTTGATTTGGTATTCTCATGTTTCTATTTTGTATGTTCTTTTGTTGTGTTTGTAACACAACTAGCTCATTGACATTTTTACGTCTTAACGAGAATTCTAATCTTGTAAAATCATCTTTAAATATTTTTGACATTTATAAATTTGAAAGTTACCTTTAAGGAAAATTACACAAACCACCCCCTTAAAATGATGGGTTTGTTACCATCACATTATTGATTTTTTTTTTTTTTTTTTTATCAAAAAGTTCTAATTTGATTAAGTTGATCTCCGTTCAACATTACATTCGCATCTAAGAGTTCTTTAAGTACTCGAAAGTAAAAATTACACAACTCAAATAAAAAAAGGCATAAGGTGATCGTAATAAATTTCATAATTTAAGGGTAGTTTGTGCAATTTTTTCTTATTAATTTTGGTTAGTTACATAATTGTGCATATATTTCTTGTCATTTCAATCAAAAGTTGAGCACAATTCTTTCAGATAAATAAATAAAAACAAATGAGCCATTTTTAAAAAAATAAAATATTTAGAATTCTAAAAACATCTTCAACAATTGAACCAATAAAAAGCCATTGACTAAATAAGTCAGTCTTAACAAAAAAAAAAAAAAAAAAAAAAAAAAAAAAAAAAAAAAANTTTTTAAAAAAAGGAAAAAAGATGTGATTAAAAAGGAAAAGAGAAAATATTGCGAGAGTGGATGGCCGTACAGTCCCCGCCCCAACCGCTGTTCCCGCGCTTTCACAAAACAGCCATTGAAAACCTGCACTAAGATTAGCTCATCAATCTGCCCTCTCCATTCGAATTTCTATTCCTCCTTCTCTGTAAATTCATCCTAAATTCATTCTTCTCTCAAGCAACCAGGTTTTGATTGACTGGACTCCGGCTCCGATTCCCTCCCCCTTTCCTCACCGGTCCCTGTCGATCAAAACCTGTCGATTTCCCCCATTTTCACTTACTTGTAGCTTTCAGATTCTTTCGACGAAGGTAATTTCTCTTAATTCTTTCTTCATTTATAAATCTCTTTGAATCAACAAGTAATTTCATCTTGCTTGCTTTTCTCTGCATTTGGATCTTGAATCGCAGGTGTAGGTTTATCGATTATCGTGGTTGGAGTTTTTTTTTTCTTTTTCTATTTTTTTCTATTTTTTTTCTTTTTCATTCTCTCGCGATCGGGTAGTTAAGTTTTCAGTTTATATAGCTTATTGGAACAATGGGCACCTCTGTCAAGGGCAACTCTGTAAAGGGCCTCTTAAAAGGACTAAGATACATTTCACAGATTTTCGGTATGTTTTCGATTTCGTTATCGTTTTTGTTTTCGTTCGAAAATTTTTGCCCTGGATCGGGACTTGATTGATTGATTTGATGGAAATTTGCAGATGAAAAGGAACAGGAAATGCAGATTGGGCTTCCCACTGACGTTAAGCATGTTGCTCATATTGGATGGGATGGTCCATCTGGTAATCAAAATAATCCTGGCTGGGTAAGAACAATCAAAGGATGGAATCTCACCCTTTTCTGATTTTATGTTGTGTTTTTAAAGTTTTGTGAACGTCGATTTGGATTTTGTGGGTGTTGGGAAATTGCACAGATGAACGAGTTCAAATCTTCGCCACAAAGCCAAGACTCGGGGGATTTGGTGAATTCTAGTGGGGAACTCCCCAGCAAAGGTTTGCTTCATCTTCTTCTACTTTTATCTGAAAATTTTAATTCGTTTACTCATAGAATGTTAAGGTTTAAATGGCACTCTAGTTTATGAATATGTATTCGTTTCTTCTTTGGGTGAATCATTCAACCTGCGATAAATATAAAGCTAATAAGTTTAATCATGTGCATTGATAAATGATTCAACATTTACATAGCTCATCATGTCAAAATGGAAATTCAGGACTGTTTACATTCAAGTCATGAATATAGATGTTGTTTGATTTGTTATATTTTGATTGCTTAGTCTTGGTGGCTGAGATTTGGCTTAGAATGCTGGTAGATTGTTGTATCTTTTAGAGTTTCTGAGGATGGTGAAGTGATGTTGGTAATGGAAGTTATGTTTGTATAGAGTCTGGAGAGATAGATGTGCAAAAGGCAAATCGATCTCGAAAGTCGAAATCGCAAACATCATCAGAAACGTCTTTAGACTCTTCTTCTGCTCGGCGACATTCTGAGAAAGGTTCTAGGCGACAACGCTCATCATGCCCTTCAGGCGAATCTGTTGCAGAAGGTAGTAATCGAAGCTCACGACGTCATCGTAGTTCGAATCAAGGGGGTTCATCAAGCTCAGAAAATCCTGCCCCAAAACACTCACATCGGAGGAAATCTAAGGGGTCATCTGACGGGGGTGAATCAACAAAATCCTCTAGATCAAGGGAGAATAACTCTTTAACAGACATACCAAGCCCAGTGTTGGAAGCAGTTGATGAAGAACAGGGGTGAGCGGAAATTCCAGACATGGAACTAAACGGCATTCTAGTCGAGCTGGGTGCTTCAGATGGATTCTCCTTGCCCGTATATGAACATAATTTTGTTGCCTTGGAGATGATATGAATCATATGACTTTAGCTTCAGTCATCAGTTAAAATTTTATCACCAAGAAAGTTGTATGTGTAAACATGTAACCAACAGTCATTCTTCAAACGATGACCCACACGTAATCTGAAGCTTGAATTTATATATTCAGCGCCCCTTTTCAATGCAGTGGTATGATCCTCATAAATCACTGATTGACAGAACCATTGTAGTCACAAATAACAGCACTTAGAGCTTATTGTTGCACTGTCAAGTATTCGTGTTGCATTTGGAACATTTCATTTCTCGGGTAATACGAATCTCTTATATCACCTAGAAAATTCTCCGACTGTCTCCGTTAAACCACTGTTCCATCCATGTCTAACAAGGATGCCATAGAAGCTTTTGGGTGTTCAGAAAGCCTTTTATGCCGTCAAGACTCATAAGAGCCTGCATAGGCACTGTCATTAGATAAACTAGGTTATTGGGAGGGAATCCACATCGATCATGGTTTATAAGCAAACCTTTTAGGGAAACCAAAAGCATAGTCATGAGAGATTATACTCAAAGTGGACAATATTATATCATTGTGAAGATTCGTGGTTCCTAACATAGTATCAGAATCATGCTCTTAACTTAGTTATGTCAATAGAATTCTCAAGAGTCGAACAAAGAAGGTGTGAGGCTCAAAAGTGTAGTCAAAAGTGACTTGAGTATCGAACAAATGGTGTACTTTGTTTGAGGGCTACAGAGAAAGGAGTCGAACCTCAATTAAGGGGAGGTTGTTTGAGGGCTCCATAGACCTCAAGGGAGGCTCTATGGTGTACTTTGTTCAAGGGCAGTCCCACCTTCGCTAATTAAGGGAATGATCATGAGTTTATAGGCAAGGAACACCATTTTTATTGGTATGAGACCTTTCGAGGAAACCAAAAACAAAATCACAAGAGGTTATACTCAAAGTGGACAATATTATACCATTAGAGATTCGTGATTCCTAACAAAAACCATTTCACATTTTTAACCTCTGACTGATCAATACATTGATCAAGACAATGAAACTACTTACAGTGAACAATGTAGAAATCCAGACACTTTATGCTTTCCTCTTCCTAACTATGGTTACAGCAGTTGATCTCTAAGTTTCAGTTCGTATCGAAGATTCGATAACGAAACGAATAATAATACTAAACAATGATGGATGATATAATTTCAGACTTTGGGGGAGATGTTTAAACCTGAGGGTGCAGCAAAGGGCATGCATCATGTCTGTGATGATATTATGAAATAACAAACACTCTGAGTTCTCCTCTATCTCCCCTGGTGATCCGAGTATCATTGTCAAGGTAAGTGACTTCAAAGTCGCCACTTCCAGTGTTGGATGGAGGCCTTAACGCATCTGGAAGCCGAGGTACCTCCAATGGAGGAAGCTGTGATAAGTTTCCAGTGGCTTTCACGGTGGTTTTTTGAAAAGTTATCTTTATCTTAGCAGACCCTGATCTCAGTACAAGTAGACAATAGAACAATTCTTCTGGTTAAGAAATGGGAAGTTACATAGCAATGGCCTTGTAATTGTAACACCATAAGGAAAAGAATATCCTTAGAGAACCAACCTATGATTTCAAACACGTGAGCTAATGTAGCAGTGACTTCAGCAGGAGGTAGTGGCCAAGGAGCACCTAACTCGAGCTCTACGATGTTATCGAAATCTTTGCTGATGACGTCGATCCGCTGAAAAACCTATTGATGGAAATTTGAAAGTCAACATTGTTAGAAACCACGAGTCTCCACAATAGTATGATATTGTCCACTTCGAGCATAAGCTTTCATAACTTTACTTTTGGTTTTCTTAAAAGACCTCGTACCAATGGAAATGTATTCCTTACTTATAAACCCACGATCAACCCCTTAATTAGTCGATGTGGGACTCATTTCCCAACAATCCTCCCCTCGAACAAAGTACACCATAGAGCCTTCCCTGAGGCCTATGGGGCCCTCGAACCGCCTCCCCTTAATCAAGGTTCAACTCCTTCTCTGGAGCCCTCAAACAAAGTACACTCGCTATTCAATACTTGAGTCACTTTTGACTACACTTTCGAGGCTCACAACTTCTTTATTCGACATTTGAGAATTATATTGATATGACTAAGTTAAGGGCATAGCTCCGATACCATGTTAGGAATCACGACTCTCTATAATGGTATGATATTGTCCACTTTGAGCATAAGCTCTCATGACTTTGCTTTGGACTTCCCCAAAAGGCCTCATACCAATGGAGATGTATTTCTTATTTATAAACCCATGATCGTTCCTTAAATTAGCTAACGTGGGACTCACTCCCAGCAATTCTCAACACAAACATAAACGAAAACGAACATTGTTAACTAAATAAGTTTTGTTAGTCATCTTGTTTGCAAGTTGTATGAGAAGAAGAAGCAGTCTGTGTCCGGTTCTATAGTAGAGATAGAACTAAGATACGACCAACAACAATAGAAATCAGAAATATTGCACCTGACCAAGAGTGATCGGAAGTAGCCTTCCCGTGGGAGGTCCCGGTCGACTTCCGCCTAGAGTGCGAGACGAGAATGCACTACTGTATATCAGTTTCCATCTCCCTTGCAATTTGTCAAGATCAACTGAGAGGTCCACAGGCCCTCCAGCAGCTTCAATCTCTTTGGCAGCCTCATCTGCCTTCTGTAAATCATCCTCGTTTGCAGCAAGACCTCTATTTAACCCGGAAACCGCACTCTAGTATAATGAAAAAGCAGAGCAAGTTAGGAATCACGGATCTACACGATAGTATGATATTGTCCAATTTGAGATAATCACTCATTAGGACTCCCTCCCAACAATCCTCGACATGCTAGTTCTACATGTGTTCTTGACTGTTGACACCCACTTTCAATCAATCAATTGAAACAGAGGAATGAGAGGCAAAAGAGAGACCTACCAGTAGCTTGAGCTTCAAGGATGCAAGGAGTTCAGAATTAGCCTTGTAATCATCATCAAGAGAAGGAGAGGAATCGGAAGCCGACTTCAAATAGAAACTTCTTTTGGGTCGGCCGTCGCCGGAAAGCAGAGGCCGGCGGCTGGAACACTTGAGCTTGAAATTGGGTGCAAACCCATGGATTCTGGATGGAGATAGAAACCCAGAAGAAGAAGAATCGGAAGAACAGATCTGGAGTGGCGAGTGAAGCACAGAGGTCGCTACCGCAGCCATGGGAACCTTGATTGAGTGGAGAGCGAAACTGTTTGTTTCTCGGGAAAATAATTGAGGGAAGAACAGAAAAACAGGGAAAATTTATGAATCATCAATTGAATGGTTAGCAACGGTGGAATATTATAGAAATCGAAGAAGGATCAATGGAGGTGAGATGCAGAGCGTCGAATTTAGCAACGGTGGAATATTATAGAAATCGAAGAAGGATCAATGGAGGTGAGATGCAGAGCGTCGAATATGATTGGTTCGAGAAATGCCACGTGGTTGTTTCTAATTGAGATTTGAGATCTAGATTGCATCTTCCCGCTATAATCTTTTTGGATAAATAAATGTTTATCTTAACTAAAGTAATAATTATTAATTTAAATATATATTAAANTTAGCAACGGTGGAATATTATAGAAATCGAAGAAGGATCAATGGAGGTGAGATGCAGAGCGTCGAATGGTGGGACAGATAGGATTTGAGTGGAGCGATATGATTGGTTCGAGAAATGCCACGTGGTTGTTTCTAATTGAGATTTGAGATCTAGATTGCATCTTCCCGCTATAATCTTTTTGGATAAATAAATGTTTATCTTAACTAAAGTAATAATTATTAATGCATCTTCCCGCTATAATCTTTTTGGATAAATAAATGTTTATCTTAACTAAAGTAATAATTATTAATTTAAATATATATTAAAAGTTAAATTCTAAATATTTTAAATTTTATTTTTAAGAATGGTTTGAAAATAAATAATTGAAAAAATTAAATAAAAGTAAAAAAATATATGTAAATTATTTTCGCTTTCTTCACAAATAAATAATTGAAAAAATTAAATAAAAGTAAAAAAATATATGTAAATTATTTTCGCTTTCTTCACTTTTTTTTTTTATCACCATACTCTATAATTAAATAGTTGAGTAGAAACATTCTAATTATACCGTTCAAATTATTAATTGTTATTAAAATAAAATTAATTTATATTAGACTTAAAATAATTATACTTATAAGAAAAATTATTAATTGTTATTAAAATAAAATTAATTTATATTAGACTTAAAATAATTATACTTATAAGAAGTTACACTGATAATTAACCTTTCATAAATCTCAAATATTAAAAAAATTATTTTAATATTTATAACAATATTAAAAGTATGATAGGAAAAAGTTGGATTATAATTCTATTTTTGGATTAGACTCGTTGATTCAACAACTTAAACTAACTTTTATGGTTTGAGTTCGAGTAGTTAGAACGGATAATTGTGAGAAACACTTTTAAAAAAATAATAGTTTTTTATTGCTCTTATTGTAATTGTATTGATGAGTAAAATATTGTTTACAAAATATTGCCGCCAATTATTAAGCTTTAATTTATGGAAAAAGAAAACAATAAGGAACAAGCTCAAACATGATGTCGCTTCCTGACAAAAGCAGAGCGTTAAGTGAAGAAAGCAAATGAAATTCAAAAGCTAAAATTCAGATTCAATTTCCCGCCCAAACCAAAAAATCGAATCCCTCCTTCATTCCCCCATTTCTGCATTCTCCAAATTCATATCCATCACTGAAATCAAATCCCTCTCCACTCCAAATCCAGATCTCAACATCCCCTCATAATTTTCATCTATATTCATTCCCATTTCATCCGATCATCACCGGCAAACGCCACCGATGTCGGCTCGCCGTCTCCGAGATCGCAGCGGCGGATCCGCTGCCATTAAGCCCTCCAAACCTGTAACTCCGCTCTCATGTTCCAATCAAAAGACTAATTCCGATTCATCCTGCAGATTTTCGTCGGTGGGCAAGGAGAATCCGAAGTCCACGCCTAAGCTTCCGATGATGGCTCAAAAGCCCTCGATCCGGGCCGTGCCGCGAGTGAACAAGGCTGCGGTAATCGCTGTTAACGACGGCGAAAGTCGTGCTCGGTGGTCCACGTCTTCGGTTCCGAGAGGTAGGAGCTCTAGTCCTTCTGAGTTTATTAGGGGTTCTGTTGACTCTCGTAGGGAGCGGAGGGTTTCGGTTGATCGAGTGAGAGGTTCTGTAGGGGAGAGTTATCAAACGGCTGGGGGAAGAGGTTCGAGCGTTAGAGGTTCTAGTGATAAAACGAAAGTAGGAGTTAAGGATCTGGATGTGATGGTGGGAGGAGGAGGGCTAACTGGATTGAGAGTTTATAGGGAACTGAAGGAAAATGTAAAGCTTCGAGCGAATATGGACGGTAAGAATCGGATTTCTGAAGCTAACCAACCGCCTGATGAGGAGAAAATTGAGGGCAAACCACTGGGGTTTAAGGTTTCGGGAAGACATAGTGGGGAAGCCATTGACGATGCTTTAAGAAGCGATGGAAATGGTAAAAGTTCAATCGTTCCCGAGAAAGTACAGAGGGTTTCTATAATTAACGAAGAAGAAGAGGAGAAACCCAGTTTGAAATCTGAGAAGAAAGATTTAGAGATTTTCAAAGAGGGAGGGCAAATTGGAGGAGAGGGGACTTCAAGCTGTACGAGTAACAAGTATCCGAGCAAGCTCCATGAGAAGCTTGCTTTTCTGGAGGGTAAGGTAAAGAGGATAGCATCGGATATCAAGAAGACAAAGGAAATGTTGGATTTGAATAACACTTCCTCGTCTAAGCTAATACTCACAGATATTCAGGAGAAGATTTCTGGGATTGAGAAAGCGATGGGACATGGTGCAGCTGGTTCTGGTGTGAAAGTGGGATTGACGAGTAAAAACGATAGAGATACCAAGATGGTCTTAAAGGATGAAACTAAGGAAGCAGATGTTAACACTTCTGTTAAAGGTATTAACACGAAGGAATTGGAGGAGAGACTATTTCCTCATCACCAATTGCTCAGGAATCGGATGTCAATGAAATCAGCGTCAGATAGCTCAAAGAGCAATGATGTTCATGGCGTCAAGGTTGAAGATATGCCAATTGATGAGAACCCAATTGCTTTGGAGTTTTTGGCTTCTCTGAATAAGGAGCAAACAAAAGTTACCATGAGGAGCGAACAAGTTGGTATGGAGTTTTGTGAAGTCCAAGAAATGGATGAAAATACTTCTTCAGGATTGCGAGAATCATCAACCCAATTCAAGGGTAAGCAAGAAGCCGAAGTCATTCTCACAAGCGATGAGATTCTTGATGATTTTGATGATCGCGAGAATAAACAGGGAGGCCTAATAGGAGAGGAGACAGATGATACTAGCACCTACCAGATGAATGAAATAGGCACCAAAACCTCAACAGGTGGATGGTTTGTGTCGGAGGGAGAGGCCGTCCTTCTTGCTCACAACGATGGCTCGTGCTCATTTTACGATATTACTAATACCGAGGTATGCCATTTAACCTCTAATGAAGGCTCGCTCGTTTTTAACTGTATTGAAACTCATAACCCCTAAATTTTGTCCTATGATTTACTAAATGCTTCTTTGCAATAACCCTGAAAAGTTAGGCTAATTCACATGCATGGTACAACTCTACTAATCCGATGGACAATTGTTCAACTATTGATCTGAAATGGGTTTATGAGTGTTAGACGAACATGACTCTCCACAATGGTATGATATTGTCCACTTTGAGCATAAGCTCTCATGGCTTTGCTTTGGGCTTCCCCAAAAGGCCTCACACCAATGGAGTCTTAATCGAGGCTCGACTCCTTTGGAGTCTTAGTCTTCTTTGACTGCCTTCGTACCTTTGAGGAGGCTTGACTCCTTTTTTCTTTTTGAAGTCCTTTGTTCGACATTCGAGGATTTGCCAATCTATTGGCACGGCTAAGTTTAGGACATGGCTCTGATACCATGTTAGACGAACACGACTCTCCACAATGGTATGATATTGTCCACTTTGAGCATAAGCTCTCATGGCTTTGCTTTGGGCTTCCCCAAAAGGCCTCACACCAATGGAGAGTATATTCTTAGATTATAAACCCATGACCATTCCTTAAGTTAATCGATGTGGGACACTTTCATCTAACAATGAGAATGCCTCCAGTTGTACAAACTGCTAGATCTTTGCTTAGATTTATTTCTTTACCTATTGTGTTCATCTGTTTAGGAGAAATCTGTGTACAAGCCCCCAGCAGGTATCTCACCCAATATATGGAGAGACTGCTGGATAATACGTGCCGCTGGAGCAGATGGTTGCTCTGGAAGATATGTGGTGGCAGCGTCAGCTGGGAATACGATGGATGCAGGTTTTTGCTCTTGGGATTTTTATAGCAAGAACGTACGAGCTTTCCAGATTGAGGGTGCAATGACCTCTTCAAGGACGGCACTTGCTCCCTTACCCCATAACATTGTGCAAAAGCGATATGCTCCTAGTTATATGCTGGTACCAGAAACGGAACAATGGTGGTATAAGCCATGTGGGCCTCTGATTATTTCAACTGCTACCTGTCAAAAGACTGTAAAAGTTTTTGATGTCCGTGATAGTGACGAAATTATGAACTGGGAAGTGCAAAAGCCAGTGGCAGCAATGGACTATTCTAGTCCCTTGCAGTGGAGAAACAGAGGGAAAGTAGTTGTAGCAGAAACAGAGGCAATATCTCTATGGGATGTTGCTTCTACAAGCGCTCAGGCATTGCTCTCTGTTTACTCACCCGGTTGCAAAATTTCTGCTCTTCACGTGAACAACACAGATGCTGAATTAGGAGGAGGGGTTCGACAAAGGTGCTGTGATTCTTTTATTTCTAATCATATTTCTCTCCTGGTTATTTGTTATTTGGTTGCTTGAAAATGTTAGGAATTACAGATTCTCTACATTGGTACATTATTGTTTGCTTTGAGCATAAGATTTCATGGCAGAGATCTATTCCTTACTTATAAACTCATGATTATTTCTTAAATTAGCTAATATGGGACTTCCTCCCAACCATCTTCCCCTCGTACAAAGTACAACATAGGGCCTCCACTGAGGTCTATGTAGCCCTTGAGCAGCCTCCCTTTAATCAAGGTTTGACTCCTTTCTCTAGAGTCTTCGAACAAAGTACAGTCTTTGTTCGACACATGAGTCACTTTTGACTACATCTTCGAGGCTAGCAATTTCTTTGTTTGACACTTGAGCATTCTATTGATATGGGTAAATTAAGGGCATGATTCTGATACTGTGTTAGGAATTGCGGATCCCCACAATAGTATGATATTGTTCACTTTAAGCATAAGCTCTCATGGCTTTACTTTGGGCTTGCCCAAAAGAACACATACCAATGGAAATCTATTCCTCTGAATTTTCTCACATATTTATCCGTACTCTATTTGAAAACTAATCCATAGTCTAAATAGGTTTATCCATCAGCTCATTTATACTGATTTTGTGATGTTTGCGTTTGTGATATGCAGAATAAGCTCAGCAGAAGCAGAAGGAAACGATGGTGTGTTCTGCACAACAGATTCTGTAAACATTCTGGACTTCCGCAGCCCATCAGGAATAGGCTTAAAGTTGCCAAAAGCTAGCCTCGGCGCACAGTCAGTTTTCTCTAGAGGAGATTCTGTGTACGTTGGCTGTTCCAGTGTCAGGCCAGGAGGGAAGAAGCAGCCTTCTTCAGTGGTACATCAATTCTCTATTCGTAAACAGGGCCTCTTCTGCACTTATGCATTGCCAGAAACCAATGCACACGTCCATCATACAGCAGTAACTCAAGTTTGGGGGAACTCAAATCTTGTCATGGCTGTCTGTGGATTGGGGCTATTTGTATTTGATGCCTTGAATGATGATGTCTCACAGTCCAGCTCTGTTGATCCTGAAGGCACCCAAGTGGCGGTCAAGGAAGTTGTTGGTCCAGATGATTTGTATTTGCCTTCTTTCGATTACTCGACGTCTCGTGCGCTTCTCATATCGAGGGATCGCCCTGCATTATGGAAACAATTGCCATAGGTACGTAATTTAAGCTGCTGGTCAAATGCTGTTTGGCTTGATCTGTCTTGAAAAGCTGTATAAGATGCTTGTGTCTTTTGGTGTTCTATGTAAGATGGTAGAGCAATAGTTCTCTCTATTTATGGTTAATGAGATTGTGTTTGTTATTGCCTGGTTTTGCGTATGGATGTTCTTTCATACATAAAAGAGATGAAGTTGTCCAAGTTTTTTGAAACTCAAGCTGTCTGTTACAAATTAGACCCAACTCTTTTTGATACGAGAGTTTGTGCTGAAAATAGGTGAGGATATGTTCCGTTAGTCTTGTGACTTTAAAACGTGTCTGTTAGAAAGAGATGTCTACATCTTTCATAAGGAGTGCTTTGTTCCCTTCCCCCACTTCCTTTGGGGGCCTAGCGTTCTTGCTGGTCCACTACTCGGTGTCTAGCTTTGATACCATTTGTAATAACTTAAGCCCACTACTAATAGATATTGTTTGATTTTGTCTGTTCCAAATTGTCGTTAGCCTCATGGATTTAAAATGTCTGTTAGGGAGAGGTTTTTACATCTCATATAAGGAGTATTTCGTTCTCCTCTCCAATTGATGCATTGGCACACCGTCGGTGTTTGGCTTTGATACCATTTGGTCCGTTAGTCGCCCCTCACAATTTTAAATTGTAGGGAGAGGTTTCCACATCTCTTATAGGGTTTGTTCTTCTCTTCAATCGATGTGAGACTTATCAATAATCATTTTGGTCTTTATTATTTTATTTTTCTATTGTATGTATATTCGTCGTATGCTTGAAATTATGTTGATATCAATATGCTCGTACACACACTCAATCGATAAATCAAAATAATTATTTTTTTAAAAGTTAAAAAATTAAAATAGACATTAAAAAATTCAAGGACAAAAATGAAACAAATTAAAAAATTTAGGGACTAAAATAAATATTTTGAAAGGTTAAATTAAGATATAAAAGATGGAAGACAAAAATGGGATATAAATTATAAACGAAACTTATTTATGAAACTATATGTGAGATCTCACGTCGATTGGAGATAGTAATGAAACATTTCTTGTTAGTGTGAAACTTCTTTTGGTTAGATGATAACGATATGTAATGGGCTAAAACGGACAATATCTACTAATGGTGTGCTAGTAAATGGTGTGCTAGTAAGGACACTGAACCTCCAAAGGGACAATATAATATCGTGAGGATTATAGGGCTAAAACGGACAATATCTACTAATGGTGTGCTAGTAAATTGTGTGCTAGTAAGGACACTGAACCTCCAAAGGGACAATATAATATCGTGAGGATTATAGGGCTAAAACGGACAATATCTACTAATGGTGTGCTAGTAAATGGTGTGCTAGTAAGGACACTGAACCTCCAAAGGGACAATATAATATCGTGAGGATTATAGTGATACGTAACGAGTCAAAACGAATAATATTTACTAACTGTGGGCTTGGACTCACTAATTTTTTTTTATTTTTTTTTATCTCAATTGACATAAAAAGTATTCTTAATCAAAAAAATTCTAGTTTTCATTTTTATATTTTGTCAAAATAAAAAATAATAATCATAATAATAAAATTTAAGATTAAAAAGAGATTTAAATCTCATTTTAATTATTAACTTTTATGATTTTCACTCTTGATTGGTAGAATAGCATCCAAACTTCCAAAAATATTTATTTTAGTCTCATTTTAGAAAAAATAATAATTTTAATTCTCTTTATTATTATTATTTAATTAATTGAAATATAAATCAGTATGGATGGGAGAATAGTAAGTGAACTTTATGATGGTTAAAAGTTTTACATTTATGTTACAGTAAATTGCTGTTATTTATGCATTTATTTTTAAACTTTACTGCTCACTTTTATGCTTTCCCGGCTACGACTATACCTAAAATCGTACCCTAAGTTTCTATTTAGTGTTTATATCATTTATTATTATTATTTTCGTTCGAGTATTGGTGTGATTGTAGGTTGTCCAATTAACTATGTTCGGGTTGGACTGACATTTTTTAAATTTTTTATACTACTTAATTTAATTTTTACCATTGACCTACTTTTTCCAATTTCATTATTCGGTAGGTTATCCATTACTTTCAACTTTAAAAGTTCCATTTAATCTGTAACAACATATTCCAAACAAAACGAACTTGCTTAAATGAGAAATGAGGAAGAAGCCATACAATGGTATGACATTGTTCATTTTGTTGGATGATGAAAGTCCCACATCGACTAATTTAGAGAATGATCATGGGTTTATAAGTGAGGAATACTAATTCCATTAGTATGAGACCTTTTGGGAAGGTCAAAGCAAAGACATGAGAGCTTATGCTCAAAGTGGACAATATCATATCATTGTGGAGAGTCGTGTGTTAGTGCTTTTAGTTTTCTCAAAATGACTCAGCTGAATAAATAAAAACGGTAAACAATAATAAATACTCCAAAATATAACAAATTTGTTGGCATTAATTAATGGAAATGAAAGTTTGTTTCATTTATAGGTGGTGGTTGCTCTCTCTCTCTCTTTCTTTATTTTTTTTTATTTAATTTTTGTATTTCTTATAAAAAAAATCTATCCAATAATTAACTTATTTGAGAAAAAAAGTTATTAAATATAATTTAAAAAAATGGAGAGATATTAAACATAAAATAAAAAATTGAAAAATTTTATGTGTAATATTATATAGACTAATGGTATCAAATCAAACATATTTTTAATATTTGTTTAATCTTAATTCATTCCGATAAAATATATATTTTTTAATATTTAGATATATATAGATTATTATAAATAAATAAATATATATTTGTAGGGTCAATACTAAATCTGGACCTATTTTTTTCAAAGCTGAATATATTGAAAAAGGATCGACATGGTCCCATCTTATGTCCACTTGATTCGTTTCTATTTTGAAATTGAATCGTACGGCGGAAATAAAAAGACATTTCACAAGTAACCTGTTTTAAAAAATTTTATTTTTTCAAATAAAAAATATTTTTTAAATCTCTTTCTTTACAAATTTTAATTTTTAAAAAAATTTAATTTATAATATTTATATGGTGTATCTAAATACCATAAATTGTGTTTTTTTTTATTAATGTAGCTGAAATTTTGAAATACAATTAAATAAAAAAAAAAAAAAAGGTTAGAAAAATTATTAAAGGCTAATTGTGTAATTTAGCCTTCTCAAGTCATGAAAGAGCTGTGCTGTGGTGGGAGGGCAAAAGAGTCAAAGACTAAAACTTGACGAACGTCCACGTAGGCTGCCGTCTATAGCCTAAACATGATGAGATAATGGAATGGAATCCGAACCGTCCCTATATATTGAGAGTTCACGTCTTCAAGCAGAGGCACTCTAAGCTAATTTGCAGATAGACGACGATGAGGAGATCGGAATGCCATCCTTTGTTGAGAGGAACAAGAAGCAACAAGTTCACCCATGGCTTCTCTGCGGCGGAGATGGAATCAATAACCGCCATCTGCGACACCGTTCTTCCTTCTCTGCCGTTCGATTCACAAGATGAAACCAATGCTTCTGATATCGCCTCTGTCGAGGCGTTTTATTCCGCATCCGGTTCGCGATCTCCGATTCCGGATGAGGTGAGTTGATTAACGGATCGAGTTCTTTGTGTTCTTCATTAATTTTAGGTCGATTTTGATTTCGAGTTCTGTTTGTGGAAATTAAAAATTAGGTTGCAGAGATGATAACGAAGATCGGATTAATTGAAATAGTGATATTGATAAGGATAGTGATGTGGCTTCTGGCTACGAGATTAGGAACATTGTTGCTTTGTGGATCGCTTTGTTTCCGCGAGAAATGGCCTTTTGTCTGCAATTTCTCGGCTATGGCATTGAAGAACAGAGAGGAAGCTTTGAAGAGATGGTCTAAGAATAAGATTTTCACGTTCATCAGAGTTGCTCTTGCTTCCATCAGAATTCTTTCCCTCTACATCTTCTTTTCTCGGGTACTCCTTCTCCCCTCACTCTTTCTATCTAATTGTTTTTTATTTCTTAAAAATCAAAGATAACGATTAACAATGCATAATCAAAATATTAGCTGGAAACCAAAATAAAAATAATCATAAGTATACAATTTTGGGAAATTTTGAATAAAACTTATTATTGAAAACATCCACGTTCATTAAGTATGGATTTAATGCCAACCTACCAGTGAAGCTATGGGCATAATGATACCATAAAGAATAAATGTAAATAAAAAGAGTTTTTAATTTTTATTTTTGTGTTATTAAATTCTTTAAATATTAATAAAAAAAATTAAATTGTATGGTAAATATATAATTTTTAAAAAATGTTGAATAATTCAATAATATATTATATAAAAGATTTATAATTAAAACTTTAGAAATTTAGTAAAAAAAAGTAACGTTTTAAAATATATCCTTTTTGTACAAAAGAATAGGGAAGATTCCGGATGAATGTAAGAGAGCATAAAGACAAATTATAATTCAAAAGTCAAACATCATACGATCCTTGCCCTGCAGCATGTTCGCAGCAAGAAAGAGCACGTGCTATTTCAGTTGGTTATTTTGTAATTTTGCAAGAAAAAAAGGGCCAAAAGACAAATAAAAAAAAAAGAAAAAGGAAAAAAAATAAATAAGGGCTTCTTGTTTCCATAACTTATTTATTTATTTTTTTGTAATAGAGAAACTATGACGTCATATATACTTATTTATTTATTTGTTCATAAAAAGAGTTTTGCATTTAATATATTTCCGTTTAATTCATGAAATTCAAGTTTTTGTATTTTTTGAACACTTGAAAGAAAGGTACCTTCCTTGCTTCCATCACTTTCATCTTCCCTTTTGTATTTATTCATTTATTCAATTATTCTTCATTTATTCATTTATTTATTTTGCGGGGAAATGACATAATCATTGAATGATTTTTGGTTGATTTGATACAGGTTGATGTAAATGGCGACAATCCAGCATGGGAAGCCATAAAATACCGGCCGGCCATTGATGAAAATCCATCCAAATCCTCCGATGAGAGGCCTCTCCAGAAGGGAATCATAGAACCCAACAACAAAACAGAATCATCCTTTCAAAATTCCCTTTTAGAGAAAGGTCTCACAGTCATTGGAGAGGAAAATCACACCCTTTCCATCGAATGCGACGTGGTGGTTATTGGGTCCGGATGCGGCGGCGGCGTTGCGGCAGCCATTCTCGCAAGTTCCGGTCAGAAAGTGGT